TCCAATGCCATTGTTTGAATTCCGTGTACCAAATGAAGCCTAAATGTGATTGAACAACATCGGATGATCCTATTGCAAACTTTCAAAAAGTTGTAAATCATAAAGTTCTGTATGACCAGATCAGTCACCAAATATACCAACCGAAAGTTTTCCTAAACACTCATATCTAATATATACACCTTATCTCATAACCACCCAAATTTCAACCTCCGAGCCCTAATTCAAAAACCAAAAAAAATGTCTGCTCAACTCATCCAAAAGGAATCAAGTTCATTAAGCACTCCTATTAAATCAAACAGTTAATGAGAATTCAGGCATCCATACAATCCAGCATTTACGAACTGGAAATTGAATGTATAACCTCAACTAAATTCCACTCATCTTTAAACAACCAACGGACGGAGCTATCAGAATTTCCAAATGCCAATCTTACTAGCGCAGTACAAAAAAAACAGTACATCTAGAGCAGAAACGCAGTAGAAATCCCAGAGTTGAATCGGAGACTTACTTCACAGCTCACATATCAAACAAATTCCTTTTTTCCGGCAACTCTAAGCCGAAGCCTGCATATATCGAGCTTTCTGAGCCCTTTGAACTCGTGTTTTTCCTGTTTCTCCTTCTTCTTCTTCCTAGCTGCGGAGAAATGGAGCGGCGAAACGGTGAAGACAGTATAGCTGAGCTCTTTAATATGAATCTCTGGGGCACAGTGACGCAGAAAACTCCAGGCGAGCGGTGAATTACAGCAGGAGGAAGGAGATGAGAAAGGGGATGAAAATAAGGAGTGACGTCCTCCACCAATCCGCAGCAACGTCATCCGTCATCATCTCTCCATTTTTTACCTGCCTTTTTTGACTTTTGGACCGTTTTGATGACTCCATGGTTGGTTCTATTTTGCAAAATTAAAAAAAAAATGTTTGGAAATTTTTTTAGTACAAAAGATGTTCATACAAATACCACAAGAAAATCCTAAATACTACGTATGACATTATGGTAGACATGTGAATTGTGAAATAATTTTGTGAATAAGTTCGCACTAGATTCAATTAATGTAAAAGTTTTTCTATACTTATAAAATGGTCAAAATTATTTATAATCAATTTTCAACTTATAAATTAACTGATGACATGTTTTGTGGTGCTTATAATGTGACTTATAAACTGCTTATAAGTCAGAAAAAATAAGTAAGTCTTACTTATTTTTGAGTTTTTTCTTTTCTCCATTTTGATCATGTTATTTACAAAATTAACCCTCTTCATTAATGAATAATTTCAAATGACTTATATATTGTTTAAATATTTTACATACACGAAAGAATATTTGGCTTATAAACCGCTTATAAGTTAAAAAATATTTATCAGAAATAAGCCAATAGGTACCATCAGAGAGAAACACCCCCTCAATCACATCACATGCTCAAATATCTAATTTGGCCGAAAAATTCTAGGACAACATAGTAAAATCATTCGACTGAGTCACTGGACCAACAGAAAAGGTACAAAGTGACTCGACCAACGAGAGAGAGATGTAGAAACTGGCTAGAATCTACCGATTCATCTAACTACGTCTGGCTCGTAAGAAATTAAAGTTTGCAAACTCGAGAGCTATGCTTGAACTTTATCTAACTACGTCTGGCTCTACCGATTCATCTAACTACGTCTGGCTCGTAAAAATGAAAGTGGACAAATACTTTGGGACGGAGGTAGTATATGCAACTTGAGGGCCGCGCTTGACCGTTGTGTTCCAGTTCACGAGTTGGGCATATATTTTAATCTATATAGATAAAGTAATTGTCTATGTTAATAAAGATTGCAACCTCCATGTGAAAAAGTTTGCAATAGATCCAAAGACAAAAGCTTATTGCATTTTTTACCGAGTAACACATAAAATTTTGGCCTTGAATTTTTGGGTACAGGCCAGCCCATAATAAACGAGAACCTGTAAATTTTAGGATCTAACTCACACTTTGTGTTCAACTTTACAACCCGGCCTAACCTGAACCAATAATAATAAGAATAATACGAGTAATAATAATAATAATAATAATAACAATAATAATAATAATAATAATAATAATGGTGGCCTTCTTTTGACAACAATCATTGTTGTCAGGCCCGCCCAATCAATATCGAAGACCCTGTGCATTTTTAAAATTTTAGGCTCTAAAGTTAAAATTACAGAATATATTTTGTATCAGAAGTATATCTTTTGTTTTGATTTCATTACATATATTATTACTTGAATTTACAAACTTAAAAAGTCCAATTTTTATCAAAAGTTCAAAGTAGCTCTATTATTATTGGTAAACATTTAAGTTAAAATTGTTAGCTAAAAGACGTCAAAGAAGAAAGAAGCAATAGAATAAACTAGTTTGAATGGAATAATTTTGAAAAATAGCAAATAAATGTATAACGAAAAAGAATAATAACTTATTGAAAATAATAAAAGTGAGGATAACATGGTCACAAGGTTAATTTCAAATATCAGTCTTCCTCTAAAAAACATAATCCATCTTTTCTATAGAATTTTTACAACACTTATTAATACGAGGATTAAAATTTTATGTAGTTAAAATATTTTGTGGGAGTAAAAATAAAATCAACTAACTATTCTAATACTCCTGACATAATTTAATTTGTCCATTACTATTTACTTCAGAATATGCTTGATTGAAATTATTTTTACATCAATTTATTTAAAAACTACTCCCTTCGTCTCGCAAAAAAGTTCTCATTTAGAATAGTATTTAGTCAAATATTTACACGCTTTGACTACAAATTGTGAGAAATGTATATTGAATTATAAAATAAATTTAATATAATTGGATTCAACTTAGGATCTAGTTTTGATATCTTAAATTTTTTTAGCATTTCTTTATTTAGATTATATTTGATTTATGGTCAAAGCGTTTAACTGTTTGACCAAAAATACATCCAAATGGGATGTGGGACGGAGGGAGTATGTTACATTAAAAAATAAAACTTATTTACTTAAAAACTATATAAAAAATTCTACGGATCAAGATGTGATATGCTTATATTATTTTACTAAATTAAATACAAAATAAGAAAAAAAATTCAATCATATGAATAATAAACATTCAATTAAAATTAAGAAGAAGGGAGTATAATGAAAGCAAAATAAAAAAAAATTGGCCCCTTGTAATTGGGGGTTCTGTGCAATTGCACCTCAAGAAGGTGGGCCTGATTGTTGTCATATTATGCCAACAATGACCTACGGTAGTCCATTCAACAAATTGATGGTTCTAACCCCAAACCCCCTTTAAATCCCGTTGTGCCCTCTTTGCCCCCAACCCAGCAGCCCCCCTACCCCCACTCAAAATGCCGATTGACATTGTAGCTAATTGGCATTTTAGGATGATGGTGGGAGATGCTGGGAAGCGGACAATGAATTAAGGAGGTAAGAACCATCAATTTTTTGAACGGAGCATTGTAGGCCTTGTTGTCATAATATGACACACCTTGTTGTAAAAAAAGGGCCATAATGATGATGATGATGATGATGATAATAATAATAATAATAATAATAATAATAACAACTTTAAAAATTACAATACACCAATGTCCTCTTCTCAATAGAGTGTGTTTTATGATTTTAAAGTCTACGCGTAAAATGTAGAGTTTCTTAAATTCTTTATGGGCCAACATGGGGATCTTCTATCTTTTCAAAAGCCCAATAAATCTACGGTATTTATATACTAAGGTACATAAAATGAGTGTGGACTTTAAGATCACATAATAATTTGCTTTCTCAATAACACTTTTCCATCCCAGTTTGAATTGTGTGTTTAGTATTCACTGAGTCAAATTTTAGTTACTTTTATTACCTATTTATAGTACCCATTCCAAAAAATAATATAGTTATAAGACATATTTGTTTGTGAAGTTTAAATGTAGTTTTTAAATATATAAATTTTATTTTTTTAATTTTATACCAATTTTCTTAAAAAATGAATTGAAAATATTTCAATCAAACATTATAAATCGAAAGGTGTAATTTAAATTGGGGAAGAGAGTAATAATAATACACCAATGTCCCTAACGGACCCTGATGGATTCTAAAGGATGGGGTAGTGTGAACTACAACAAGAAGGTTGTAATATGAATTAATTAACTCAGAACTAAAAGACATATTTATACATCTGGTATTGGGCCGGTACTCATTTCTCCTTAGTCAAAGAGGCCCATGAGTCTCTTAATTACATTTGCAACATACATTTTCATAGATTTATTCGCATTCAAAAAAAGTTACTCCAAACTAAACAAAAAATATCCCAAATTTTAGAGTAAATTCCATAATTGGTCCTTTATAACCGAACCGGGGGGTTTCCATATTTAGTCCTCTATTATCAAATATTACCCCCGTAATCCTTTTTTTAAGGGTACCTTTCCATAAATGGTCCTTTTTTTGATCTTCTGCCGTGTTGGTGTTAATTTAAAGGCTAAAAATATATTTTGACGACAACATTATGTCTGGTGACGTGTTCTGATATTGGTTAAACGGATAACACAAAAATAATGACTATGATTGTGGGCTAGGATTCTGACGAAAGATTACATTTGTAGACTATAGTTGTCGTAAAAAGCGGCTGGAATTCACAAACGACGCAAACGGAAGAGCCTTTGGAATTGTGTATGACAAAAGAGATATATTATTATTGTGAAATTGCACTTTTAGCCCTCAAATTAACACCAACATGATAGAAGATCAAAAAAAGGACTATTTGTGGAAAGGTACCCATAAAAGAAAGACCACTTGGGTAATATTTGATAATAGAGGACTAAATAGGAAACCCCCTGTTATAAAGGACCAATTATAGAATTTACTCCAAATTTTAAAACAAAATATTGTTTCAATCCCAAAGAGCCAAACAAGGCATATGAGTCAGTCTATAACCAAAGGACAAAAGCTCACTACCAGCCAAAAAAAGGCAAAAAATACTGTAAGAACGAGAAAGAGAAAGCTAAAGCACTCTCCATTAAGCAACAATGGCGGAAGCCATGACTCGTCCTTTCTCAGAAAATGGCAGGCCTGCACTCCATTATGAGCTCTCTGCAACTTCCTGGAATCTCTGAAAAATCTCTTACCCCATAGTCATTGCTCTCGACCGTCGTCAACCTGTTCATACTCCACATACTTCAAACTTCGGGGTGACAAATTAAGGTGAGAAGCTTCATGTAATCTCGCGTCTGTGTTACTGCATGTATTTTGCGTTTCTGGAAACGTTTCTTCTCCATTGTTGAAGCTCCGGACTCGAAGCTTTTCCCTCCTCAATCGATTATTCAAAAGTATTTCTGAACTATTGTTTTTTGTTTTTATTTTGTTATTAAAATGTGTGCTCCATTGACACGAATAAATTTCGTAAGATTTCTGTGTTTTCGTTTTCCATTTTTTTCCCTCCAATTTTTGGTAGTTTATTAAATGTTCGCTAGTGTAGTAGCCTTTTGGAGCTGATGCACTTCGGTGTTCTTCATCAGGGAATCTGTGAAACCACTCTTCTGAGTTTCAGGGAGCTGTTCATGGCTTCATCTGAGGACGAGGGTGAAATTGTTCCTGAATGCATCACCAATTACCTGTTCTACGACTCCAATGGTATACCTGCTTCATTTGCTCTTTTGCCTCTTCAGTGGGATGCTTCTAGCGGGGGTTCTGATTCATCAAGCACCCATCTATTCATATGTGGAGTTGAAGATGAAGGGATCCAAAAAATGTACAAGAAGGTTGTGGCATGGAAATTTGAATTTTCCTATTACCAGCCAGAAATTTATGTGCTGCTTCCCAAATACAATATCTGGGTAAAGCTATTGAAACCCAAGAAGAGTTATGAGGTGCTCATCAAACCTGCCTTGACTGTTGTCCACTGTCTAAATTTTGTGAAATATAACCCTCTGGGATCTAGAGAAGCTCTATGGAATCACATTAAGAAAACCTTAAGGTGAAGATGAAACAGTAGCTTGCATTCCATTTTTTAAGATGCTTTTTCTCTTACTAACTCGTTATTAAGACTGAATGCCATTGTCCTTTTTTATTTAGTGCATATGAGGTTCTTCCTTGTGAAGATGATCTGTTGAAACACTTGTCTGTACTCAGAGACACTGCTCTTAGGGACAAAGATGTATCAAAATCTCAGGTACCAAGTACTGCATAGTCAATTTTGTTTTAGGCTATGTAAATTGATAACCTGTTTTCGCTTGTTTTCTTGTAGATTGATAACCTGAAAAAACTTGATCACTTCTCTGTGAGAACTGAGTGGTGACCTTACCAATCTAAGTAACTAAGATATGAAGAATAAAACATAACCACATGCCATCGTGTGTGACATGTTTGGTTTCTTGATTGAAATGGATGGAAATTTGTTCCTACAGTTAACACAAAAAAGTCGTTGAGATAGAGTTGTGTCTTTACTCCTTAGTATAGAGTACTTTTATAGTCATCGAGTTGCCTATTGTTATTTCTCATAGGAGAGTTTTCATGCTTGCCTTTCTCGTAGTGCTTGGATTTCTATGCATATAATTAACTAGTATTTTATGAAACAGTACTTGGCTGGATTTCTTGAGGAGACATCTATGGACCATACAGGTGCTTGTGAGGTCAGTGCTAGAAGTTTAAAAGGCCATTTTGTAGAAATACCTGTTACTCTTTTGGTCCGGCTTTTATATTGTACCTGACAAAGATGCTTATACTCAAAGGTATACAAAGCATCTAAGAGACGGAAATTTATAGTTGATGAGGACAACAGTAGTAGTGACGATGGTGATGATGGCGATGATGATGATGATGCAGATGATGACGACGAAGAAGATGCAATATTCGATCATGTATGCGCGCTTTGTGATAATGGGGGCGAACTTTTGTGGTATGCACATGATTTCTATTGTAATAGTGTATTTGACTATTTGTATGAATAAGGCAAGATAAAAGAGACAAACCACAACTTGTGATATTTGAATCAGGTAAAATGATATAAGGGGATGAGCTTATTGAGACACTTCTTTCTTGTTTTGATTGTTTTCTTTATGTTTTTGCAAATATATGTAGTTTCCATTTCTATGTTGTTGATAGTTGAAACATTTTTTAAAGGAAAGAAAAGTTGTTGCATAACGTTATAACACAATAGTTACAGAAACTGAAATTGCATGTTTACTTACAGTTATGGGGTTGAGAGCCAAGGAAAATTTAACTCAAAAAAATTAAATCCATTTGAACTTGTTAAATGCTCATTTTAAGGACTTAAAAGGAAAACACTGCTCTGATTTTTGATTCTTCAGCCTCTATATTACTATATTATCATTTACATGGTTTGCAGTTGTGAAGGTAGATGCATAAGATCCTTCCACCCAACTATAGAATCCGGTGCTGATTCTCTTTGTGAGTCTCTTGGCTATACTAGTCAGAGAGTAGAAGTAATTTTCTCTAAATCCCTGTATCTCAATTATTGTTTGTCATTGTTTGGGGTCATCTCTGTCCTTCAAGATTTAGATTTTTTTCTCATTCACGGTTGACACAGGCAATTCAGAAATTTATTTGCAAAAACTGTCAATATGGGCGGCATCAGTGCTTTGCATGTGGCTTATTGGGTTGCTCTGACAACTCTTCTGGGGCAGCTGAGGTTTGACTTTCTCTTTACCTTATCTTCTCTGAACTGATGTCGATAAAGAGGATCGTAATCATCATATAGATCCTTGGTGAAGTTCGTTCTCTTTTCCCTGTTTTGGAGGGTGTATATATACTTATCAGAGTAGAACTTTTAGGCATGCTTGAAGTTCACAATAATAATATAATACATATGAACTTGATTACTTGAAGAGTTGAAGATATGAACGCAATACAGTTTTAATAGGGCATTTGACCATTTGTGTAACTCTTTTGCTCGTCATACTGATAAAGATAGTTACATGAATTAGCTTTTGGATTTAATGGTTGAAATTTTGAAAATTTGATTTCTACCTTCATTTCTAGATTTTGTTTAAGAAAATATCTTAAATATTTTCTTTATGATAAACTGATAAGTCATTTGATTCAGTCATATGAGTCTCTTTGGCAATTTAAGCATCAACCTCAGCTTCTTTAGTCAATTCATGCCTTACCAAACACCTCTCATATGTTTAACCTGTATCCTAAAGAACTGTGGAACTATGGTTAATCCTTCAACTGTAGCTCAGGGCAATTGTATATGCTACTCAATACAATAAGTTTATTTTATAGGTGTTTCAATGTGTATCTGCAACTTGTGGCCATTTCTATCATCCAAAGTGTGTGTCAGCGCTAGTGTATCCATCTGATAAAGCTCAGGCCAAGAAATTTGAGAAAGAAATTGCAGATGGAGAACCATTTACATGTCCTGCTCATAAATGTGTTTCATGTAAACAAGGAGAGGATAAGAAGGTCCATGAATTGCAATTTGCTGTTTGCAGACGCTGTCCCAAGGCATACCATAGGAAATGTTTGCCAAGGTTTCCGTCATTTTTGTTGTTGTTATTTCCTCATGTATGCTAGCATTATACGGAGTAGTAGATACTTTCTTACTTGGTAGTAATTCTTTACCTCATTTAACAAAATTGCCAGGAGTATTACTTTTTCTGATAGCCAAGAAGGCGATGGAAGGGCATGGGATGGACTATTGCCTGGTCGTATCTTGATATATTGCATGTAAGTTAGGTTGATTGACTACTTTTTCCAGGATCTTGCCATTATGTAATGCTGTTGCCTGCAGGGAACACAAGATGATTCCTGCAATCGGCACTCCACGAAGAGATCATATCTTATTTCCTTATGAAGACCGTAAAGATAAGCAGAATTCTGGTCAAATGCCAGGAAAAGAAACTGTGCTCTCTGATAGGAGAAGTAAGATCTATGGAGGTCTGAAAAGAAGTGTGGAAGGAGAACATGAGAAACAAGTCCAGAGGTTTTCTGGAGAACAAATAAAAAGAGACAGGAACCCACTGAAAGTAGCTCCAATGTTGCCATCGCGGCCATCATTTCTTAAGATCCCCAAAATAACAATCAAGCGTGCTGGTATCGACATAAGCAAGTCCAGAGAAGCCGTTCCTATGAGGTTGATTTCTAAGGAGCAAAATGTGGTGAAAAATGAAATGATGGTGAAGGAAAACAGTGAATGGCCTTTGCGGGATGAGACAAAGAAGAGGTTATGGGCTCTGTAGCTTTGCCTTATTAATGTTCAGTTATCTATTTAGTTCAAATGTCTTTTTTCCACAAAGTGACACACTGCTATTTAGAGTTTTTGTTCTTTTCCATTAAATGCTGTATTTGGCTTTGCAGAATATTTGCACTCGTGGAAAGTGTTGATTCTTCCTTTGATGAACATGAATATATCGTGGACCATAAAAGGAAAAGCATTCATACTTTTTCCTCGAGATTTGATGATGCAAAGACCATTACTGAAGTCAAAGTGGAGCGTGCTGTGCAGGTATATGGTCATCAGTTGACATGTCGTTGGAACATACAGAGTATATTAACCTCCAGTTGATGTTAGTTTACATTTGGAGTGTTTTTTCCCCATGGTTTTCAGTTATAAAAGTAAAACCTTATACTTTTTTCTGGTCCCTCTATATTCTCAGGCTGTGCGAGCAGCCCTGAGAAAACTAGAAGAAGGGCACAGTATAGAAGATGCCAAAGCTATTTGCGAACCTGGGGTTCTCAGGCATGTTTTCAAATGGAAGGTATTTCCTTTGATTATGCAAGTTTATCTTCAAATCGTTCAATTTGAGTTCAGAAGAAAGTTTTGCTAGTTGCTGATGACAAATTGACAACCAGAAGTGTAACACTGCAAAAAATGTCTTTTTGTACACTGCAGAAGAACTTAGGTTCTTATATCTCTCCTTTTCTCAATGGCATGCGGTATACATCTTTTGGCCGACACTTCACAAAACTTGCCAAATTAAAAGAGGTATATTGATGTTTCAACTTTTTGGTTTGAATACACTGAGTTGAACCATTTTAGCCCCTATATTTTTTCTTTTTCCTCAACTTCTCTCTTGGTTTTAGTGGCTAAACATTCCCTTAGTGATAGTATAGTGGTGTTACACACTTACATTTCTTTTTTCAGTGTTATGGTACTTTCAACTGCTGTCCTAATATTAGCAGTGCACATCACTATTGCAGAAGTTTATCTTTTATTTTGTTTAGAAGTGATTTGCGTTGATAATCCTTTTCTTCATTGAGTTTGGTGTCTATACAAACAGCATATTGACCTAGCATTAATTTCTAAATATGTAGATTGTTAATAGGCTCCGGTGGTATGTACAAGATGGCGACATGGTAAAGTTACTTGCACTCTTTAACATTGTAGATGTTTTACTTCTATTTTTTCAGCAACTCTTTTCTAAATCCTCCTCATTTTGGCAATTTACAGCAACTTTTTAAGATATAAAAATAAAATGAAATTTGCTTATGGAAGATCAAAATGTTTCTTGAACAGATCGTGGACTTTTGTTGTGGTTCAAATGATTTCAGCATCCTGATGAAAGAGGAGCTTCAAAGAATGAGGAAAGTCTGTCAATTCAAAAACTATGATCTCATACGACCTAAGGTTAACAATTCTACTACTCTTAAGATTCCGAATTTACTATTGAGAACAAAATGGTATTTGAATTTTTTTCTTGCTAGGGTAATGTTTTTAAGTTTAGTTTGGTACTGCTTTTTCAAACCGTAATCTCTACCAAATCGAACATCAAAACATAATAAAATCACCACAAGACAACAAACCAGTGTAATCCCAACTCAGTTGGTTCTGGGGGGTCAAGCAATCTTATCCCTCTGAAAACATAGAGGTTGTTTCCGTGAGATTATAAATGCATTCCTGCATTTACTGATCAAATCTTCATAAAGGTATGAAGCAAGGGGAGTTTAATGTGTTTTTTTTTATTTAGTTCATGTGTTCAAAACTAAAACATTGAAACAAAAAATCCAAATCCAAACCAAACAGAATCAAACCAATTTAGTTTTAATCAGGCAATCACTTGCCTAACTTGTTTTAAAGTTTTAAACCGAATACTGAAGAAACCCAACCCAATCCAAATCCAAAATGTCCACCCCTAGTCCTAGGTTGCTCCGAACCAGGTAAAGGCTGGGTGTCCAAAGAGATCTTAGCACCTAGGTGAGCTTTGTTTGTTTGTTTGTCCATTTTTAAAGCATTGGCCTGGTGATAAAATGGTACCCCCTTAATCCCATTAATTGTGTTCCATTTAACCTCTTTTGTCGGTCCCACTATTTTTGTCACATACCATATTTGGTCATATATTACTGATTTAGTGTGGTTCACATTCATTCATAATTTATCTTACTTTTTAACATCAATATCAAGTTATCAACACACAATCTTACTTTAAAAAAAATTGCGCTACTCTTTCATGTCCCAAAAAAATAGTGGGACTGAGGGAGTAATTCATAATTAAAGATTGCTCAATTTTGCTTGCAGCTTATAAAGTATAAACTACAAGATCAACTATCTAGTCTTTGTAGTCATACTTGAGCTAAGCTTCTTTCTTTCGATGCTGTGCCTCAGAACGAATTCAACTTTGAGAGGAGAAATTGGTTGAGTGTTGAAGTTGGAGAATTACCTGAAGGGTCTAATTTGGTAAGCTCCATAAAGTTGTTTTGTGTAGATTATTGAACTATACAGTTCGAATGAAAGTGACATTTTTTAATGCTTCAACAGATCATGGGGCTAAATCCCCCTTTTGCCAATGCCTATGAGTTCCTGAATCAAGCTCTAAAGTTCAGACCAAAGCTTCTAATTGTCACTGTCCCTAAGAGCACTAAAAGGTTTATCTTTCATATGCACATTTATATGCACTGGATCTTATATATTACGAGCGGCTTTCCTGCATAGGTCTAGTTTCGTATCACCTTACTAAAATGGCAAACTGTGAATAAAGACTAAATCAATGCATTAATTTTAAACAGCTGGGTGGAAAGCTCTCCGGATATAGAGTGTAGACATGATTGGTATTGAGCTATAAGACTTGTTTTAAAACTAAATCAATGCATTGATTTTCTAAACAGCTGGGTGTTGTGGTTTGTGAGGAATTGTGAGATTCTAAATCAAAACCAATTGGCGCTTTCAAAAAAAGAAAAAAAAAATCAAAACCAATTGGCAGTGGGGGAAAAGTAACTGTGTTCGGTGTGGGACTTTTATGGTGAACATCCCCTTGCAACAAAGATGTGACTCCTTAGATTGTCATATGTGAATGCCAATTTTCTTTGTTCAAGAAGGGACTTTTCTTTTATTACTATTTGATCTTATTTTACTCTGCCAGGCTTGACAAGAGAAAGGATCCATATGATATAGTCTGGGAAGATGAAGAAATACTGGCTGGCAAGGTAAGTGTTGAAATATATTGTTACGGCTTTGAGGAGTAACTCATATTCTTATATAGGACCGTGCTATAGGCCACCGCCCATGCCACCACCGGTGACAATACAGAAAATTTTATATATGAAGATAATTATCTGTGAACTACACATATGATTATTGTCTCTATAGGTATAAACTCATTTGTATTATCATCCCTGGGGGCATGAATGGTGGCCTAGCATTATCCTCTTATATATTAGTCTTTTTTAGCTTTAGTTTACGGCGTGGAACAATATCCTAAACAGTTACCTATTGACAACCCAGTTTGTCTATTTTTCATCTTGTCTGAATCAATGCATTGGATTCGTCATTCCACTTATTTTCTGCCCGCAGTCGTTTTACCTGCCCGGATCATTGGACGTGCACGACCATCAGATGGAAGGGTGGAACAAAAAGTCGCCACCGTTGTATTTATGGAGCCGTCCTGATTGGACCGCTGTGCACAAGGCGCTGGCTCTCAAGCACGGCCACATTGCCGAACCGGACCAACCTGTGAATGAAGTCGGGACACCCGGTTTTTCGAATGTCACAGGTGGTGTGCACAGTAGTGTGGTTGAGCTCCGGGAGCCATCAAGTGACATGGAAATATCTGTTTAATTAGGTAAGTTTTTTTTTCCTCTTTTTTGTTTTTTTAATTTTTATTTTTATTGTAGGTGGGTGAAAGTGTAGAACAGAGTGCAGTTAGTTAATGTTCTCTCTTATGCAAACAAAGTGATGGCCTTTTGGCTCCATATATCTAAATCTGTTTTTTGTTTATCGAATACATTTATCTCATTTTACCTGTCTTTCTTACTCCATCTATCTCATATCCTCCTTAGTATAAAACATGAAAATTAGCCCCTTTTCACTAAATATGACTTTTTCATTGATTTGAACACATCTTATTTCTTTACTTATTTTATGTTATATATTTTTTAATAGTTACATAACTAGTGTTTTCTATGAGTAATATTTTTTAAAAGAAAAGAAAGGAAGCAAAATCAACGACAAGCGTGAAACATAGAAATTTACACAAGTACAAAAATTAGTTTTTTCTATGATAATATTTTTAGGGATTTTCAACGAAAGCTTTTTCTTTCACCGAACCAAAATTGAAAACATCTTTTTTTACTCACAAATTTGAAAGATACTTTCATACATCCAAAATCAAAACATGGTCTAATCAAAACATTACGACATTTGCAATGGATCCTCAAATCCGCCGCGCCGGAAGAGAACTGCACACCTAGAACCCATTGCGAAACGACCGACTGAGGGAGTAGTAATGACAATTTTGAAAAAAACTCTATTTTTTCTTTTCCTTAAATATGCCTAAAAATCAAAACAGACGATTTAAAACGGGACGGAGGGAGTAGTAATTAGGAGGGTAGAATAGGAATGCTCCTTTTTTTTTTCTTTTCCCGTCCGAAATTTAGAGCAGTCCACTGTTTAAGCTAACTAGTATTTTTACCCGTGCAATGCACGGGGTCAAACAAAATTTTTATTGGTTCTAAAACTTTTTTAATGCAATATTTTTTCCCAGAATAAAGAAAATATATTTCACTATGATTTTTAATACTATATACAAAAATTCCAAAGTAGAATAAACCATATTTGAGGAATTGAATGTGTATTCAACCAAGTTATTTTTAATACCATACTTTTTGAAAGATTGTAGGGTATATAATTTTTTTGATATAGTTGCAAGGGCATCATTGTCATCCAGAACTAATATTTTTAATTGTGTTTTTGTCTTCACTCATGGAACCATAACATAAAGCTGATTATGAGTGAATACCAACTTGGTTAAAAGTAATGCAAGAAATGACAATATTTGACTTTGACTTTTATTGATAGTCATTGCAAAATATAAGACTATTGAGATTTGCCTTATAAATAACTTCAAGAGTAGTCCTAAATTAGATGGTATCAATTTCATTTGGAGTATGTAAACTTTTTGCTGACTCGATTTCTCAAAACCACAATAGATCAACAACATTCTTTCACAGCTCTTCAAGAATTAATCGTGTACCATTACATAATCCACTTATTTGGTCAATGTTTCTGAATATCAAAATCGTTAACCCATTTTTAAGATTATTTTGTAGTTTTGGATCCCCGAACATTTGATTTCATTTAAAATTTAATTGTTATTTAATTGTCATCAATAATTACATCCGAATCGGCCTGACATGAAGAATCAAAACTCAGGCACACCATTTCATATTAGGGAATGAGGGATATGACAAATTCATTTACCATTTCTACAACCTCAAACATGGTCCATTAGTGCCCTATCCTAAAAAATGAATAAATTTTCATACTCTCCAATAGGTTCAATTAGGATAAGTGAAATCCATTATACTCTTCACAAAATAACTTGTGTCTAGAATTAATAATTTGTGCAGAATTTTAAGGTTAGTTGTTTCATCAGTCACTTGTTTAATTTTTCATCTCTAACTTTAATTATCCAATCAGAAAAAATTTGTGTGTCCCTATCTGGGATAGAGGACGTAGAAGAATGTAATATCATATTCTTCGCTAACATATAAATTTTAAAATACGATCATAATTTTAAAGAATAGATGATAGCACTCACAATTTTCTCTCTTGAAGTTTTGGGTAAAACAGGAAGAGTTTGTCAAAAATCACCTCTGAGTACAACTATTTTTCCTTCGAGTCCTACTTTTTCCCCTCTGAATTCAACTATTTTCCCTCCAAACGGTTCATTTCTAGAGTTTTTATTAGAAAAATTCATTACATCTCTCATTTTGTGATCCAGCACCTTAAAAATAAATTTATTCATTATACATGCTCCATCACATATTATTAGACTTGTTGGATTAGTTCTGCTTTCGGATTCTCTTGTTTGATGGCACATGTTATGCAATCGCCCAAAGAGATTGAGAATCTCAAGTGTAATGTCATTCACCCATGTCCTTCCCCCATGAAAAAGTAATGCTGCAATATCACTGGATGTGACATTCAAGACAATCTTATCATTTGACATTAGAGAAATAAACACTAATTTCCATAAAAAAATATTTTTTCACTTCCACTGTAACCATACATAAAAAAGAAACCTTCTCTTTCAGGTGCCACAACTTCCATTATCTCATCGTATATATTGTGCTGATATTCATTCATCGTAGATAAGTATCTCATAAGATCATTTGCAAACTTTTCTTTTTCACTTTTATAATGCAAAATTATTCAATCCCTTGATAGTATTCTTGTCAATATACAAAATGTTTTATCAAAATACAAATAATTATAAATTTGAAATTATATTTCTCTTTGATGTGGTTGTAACTTGTAACTTAGTCTCGGTCTTATTAGTCTCCATTCGGATTTAATATTTTCNATCTCATAAGATCATTTGCAAACTTTTCTTTTTCACTTTTATAATGCAAAATTATTCAATCCCTTGATAGTATTCTTGTCAATATACAAAATGTTTTATCAAAATACAAATAATTATAAATTTGAAATTATATTTCTCTTTGATGTGGTTGTAACTTGTAACTTAGTCTCGGTCTTATTAGTCTCCATTCGGATTTAATATTTTCATTTGACTTTTCTTGGTCAAATTTTGTATACTTTAACCTTGTTATATAGAAAAAAGGAATCTCTTCATGTTTAGTAGCTAAATAATAAATGTTGGATTTCCGATAAACAAAATTGGAAATCTGTTCTCGTAAGCTCCTCAAAGAATATGGAAAATAATATAATTCACCAAAAAAATAATGCTATCAATTTCCTTTTTAATTAATGATGTCCTTCCTCCCTTAAACTTACCAAATGAAGTGTGAGTACATCATCAATTACACAATAGTTTTCACAATTTCACCTATCTACACTATAGAAAAAAAAAAGAAAGGTATGCAAAGAGGTTCCCAAGAAGTTGAAGGAAATATGATGATTTTGTAAAATAAAAAAAGATATATAAGGTAATATAAGTATAGAAGGAAACTTTTGGTAGTTATTACTCCATATATATTACTCTATATATATTTCCTAAACAAAACTAAAAAAAATCACTCAAATAGAAGTTAGACATAAATCTTATGCCCAGAATAAGAGTTTAATATTTTTATTTCCTAAATAAAGTTTACACAGTGACGTTGTGGCACTGTATATTACCATTTCATAATGTTTTTAGCACTATATAATAAAATATTGGTATTGTACTTAGTATTTTGGAGATAAAAATATAAGAAACTCCTATTTTGGCACTTTCTCCATATTCTAATCTTATTTTAGTTTTTTTCCCCAAATAATTATAGTGGCACTTCGTAATCCGTATAGGTGGCGGACGATTTGTTAAAACGTTGCCATGTAGACTCACCACTTATTGTAATTCTATGAGTTTAACTCTTAAATTTAATATATAAAGATAAAGATTGGCCTCGATATATGAAAAAACAATTTTTGTTTATCTATAAATGCAATATCAATAATATTTTTTAAAATGTTGTTTTGAAACATGAATTTTCATAAGATATGATAAGTATAAATATTGATATTAATGATCAAAATATTATATTGGAGAGCGTTAAAAGTTAAATGAGAAGTTTAAATCTACTTATACAATGAGGAGTTTTAACATGGTCTTTTTTTTTCAAGATATGTAGCAACCGAATCCATTCTTTTTGTTTAGCATAAGACCACTAACCTAAATATAAAATTAATAAAATTCATTCAGAGAAGTAGGTGCATAATTACTTATTTCATAAAAATGGATGAATCTAAATCACTTTTTTATGCAAAAATATACTCCCTCTGTCCCTCATAGATCTTCTCATTAACCTTTTTATTTGTCCACCATAGATCTTCTCATTACCTTTTTTAACAATTAAAATATATACCACAACTATCCCCAATTACTTTATTTATTACACCTCACCAGCCTCATTTAATACACTCCACCCATTTTTATTAAGGGTATTATGGTAAACTTTTACATTTTTTCAACTCTCCTTAAAAACCACAAAAAGTCAAAATGAGAAGATCTTAAGGGGACGGAGGGAGTAATTCTAAATCCAAAAATAGAAAGTGTTCTTTATTCATTAATTGTCTCAGTTTGCTTTGTTGTCAAATGTTTGAATAATTATTTATATAAATATATAATGAATTGAAATATTAAAAATTAGACTATAATCTCAACAGATGATTTATTAAAAATGTCATATTAGCTCGTGACATGCCAATATCATGTAAGCCAGAGTCTCAAATTTTATAATAAAAGGAAGGATTAGCCAATAAATGTCATTAGCAATTAATTGAAAGTTTTTTATAATTAACATTTATAACCTCCTAATAATAATTACTTTACATATACCTCGTAAACGTTTTTCATATGTGCAATAATTGGGAATGAATATTTGCTCTAATAAGATGTTTTCATACTTTAAGTTAAAATTGCCATGTCACTTAAGTCATCAAATGTGGCTGATGATGTGTAAAAAAAAATTGCCATGTAGCCTGCCACATGTCGAATTTCTGGGAGTTTAACTCCCAAATATTATATAACTAGTATTCCTACCCGTGCAACGCACGGGTTCGGACGATTTTTTTGTTACTCAGATAATTTTTTATCTTATTTGTTGATATACCATAAATTTTTGGTAATTGAAATGCATGCATATATATATATATATTGAAAAGAGCATATAAATATATAAATAAAATCTATATCTTTTGAAATACTTCAGGGTAAACTACATTTTTGGTGAAATTGCAAGGGTTACCGCTATCGTCTAAAACTAACACTTTCAATCCTGCCTTTGTTTTCACTCGTGAAACTGCAACATAAAGTTGACCGTGAGTGAATACTGACTTGCTCAAAAATAATCCAACAAATGACAATGTTTGTCCTTGACTCTTATTGATAGTCATGGCAAAACATAAAGATATTGGAAATTGTCTTCTTTGAAACTTAAACGGTAATCCAGGATCAGATGGTACCAAATTCATTCTTGGTATGTAAACTTTCTCCCCGGCATTGTTTCCGGATACAACGATTGCACCGATAACATTTTTGCGCAACTCTTCAACGATTAACCTTGTACGATTACACAACCCTGATGTTTGATCAATGTTTCTCAATAACATGATCGGTACTCCTTTCTTCAAAACTATTTTGTGATTTGGAATTCCAGAACATTTGATATCGTTCAAAAACTCAGTCGTTATCCAATCACCATCTATGCCGACATCTGAATCTGCTTGGCATGAAGAATCTGAACTCAAATATTCTTTTTCATCACCAGGAATAAGAGACAAAACAAATTCATTGATCATTTCAACAACTTCAAGTGTGGGTGCTAATAACGCTCTATCCATAAAGAAAGTATAATCTTTCATATTTTCCAATAAATCTGGATATGTGAATTCCACTATA